AACAAATTTAGAGTTCTTGAGAGCTGAAGAACAGAATTTAAGTTCTCTATTTGAGACAAATGAAGAACAAAGTTCCCGTTGACTTTTCAGTTCTCTGAAAAACTGAAGAACACAGTTTTTTAACAGTGTAAAGGGCTCTTTTCGGAAGAGAACGATGAGTATAAAACCGCTACAAAGTACATGATAAGATTTTAACTAAATCTTTCACACATCATCATCATCAGGAAAATGAACATAGGAGGAAAAGATAACTAATTATATAGGCTGTAAACGTGAATCTAAGACAAAGAAATTAAAGAAACAATTTTGCCAGTAGGAATAACGTGCCAGTAAAAGAATCTATTGAGATTGCACTAGATATGTTACATAAACCAAAGAAAATAGCTTTAGTCGACAACAAATGAAAAGATTGGTAGAATTAGCCGTTGGTGATGTAGCATTTAGATTATGGGTAATTACGTGCAATTTGATGAAATAGCAATGGGTTCACCACTTGTACCAAAACTTGCAGACCTATTTATGTCAAAACTCGAAACTAAGTTAAACAGATTTTCTACCAATAAACCATTACTATGGCTTTGATACGTGGATGATATATTGCGCATATTCACAACAAAACAGAATATTAACCATTTTTTTTCCTTTGTGCGTTTTTTGTGTGAAGTAAACTTCATTGTATCGACATTTTCATCGATTTGAACACATATTCATATTCAATTTAGTCGATGACCTGCACAGAGATGGCCGTTGATGGCCTCAGTGGTACTCTGGTGTTTTTTCACCATACTAAACGGTGTTGGTTTAGTGAAAAGAGACGTCCTATATTATAGAGAAGTCCTGTATAAATTCTTTTTTCAAATCCTATATTTTCACAATGTCCGGTACGAACACAGTTTGAAACTGTGGATGAATAGTTAACCATACATATTTGGCAAAGGAATTTCCTCTCTATAATGTGAGAAAAAAGATGTATTCCCGTTATTGATCTGCTATTGTTTGTATTCTTTAAAAAAAAGATCTATGATCAAATAATGTATTATTAGGTTATATTAAAAGAGAAAACATAGAAACCTGATAAAATTTCACTGACAACATATTTTCACTTTAAGGATTCTAAAATAAAACGCATAAATGGCTTTTTGTATAAGTGACTTTAAGTTTAAACCGTATATTACTCAGTCAATAAACGAAAAGTAGAGTAGAATACTCTACTTGACAATACTCTCATAAAAGGAATATAAGCGTTTTAAAAATGCTAGGAGATCTAAGTATTAATTAACCGAAATCTTAAAATTAAAACTAATCTATGTTCGTTTTTCATAGTTCTAAGCGATGAAATTTAGCAAGACAACAACATAAATTTTTTTTGTAATGCAGTAAGGAATGTATTAATAACATCCTTTTGTTGACAATAATAGGAACTTCATTTTTCGTCATTACGAAGGCGGATAGAGTGTTCCATTGATAGTCCAGGATGTTGGCGTATAAATTTTAACCATATTTCTAATTCTATCCGAATGTTGTGCTACAAGTTCGGCTGTTGTCCGTATTTCGTTCAGGATAGCATAGGCTGCTGTTACTCCACCAGCTTGTCCAACAGAGAACTCAATTGGATGCAGACGTGTGGCAGCATTAACCAAGAATGTTTGGGCTATTGACTTTCCGACAACAATTAGGTTGTCTATATCTCTGTTTGTTAATGAACGAAGTGGTATAAAAAATGGCAGAATATCGTATTTTTGATATATATATGGCGGATATTTACATTTGGCAATTGAATGTATGTCAACGTCATAGGCGCCAATTGCTATTCGGTCGTCGAAAATATATCCGACAAGATCTCTTGCGTGTCCACTAATGGTAGTAATATTCATCAGAAAATTATCAATTCCAATAGAACGCCTTGACTCGCGTAGATAAGGAAGTTTTGCTAGGCCATGGCATGTCCCTGTCATATTCAGCTGTCGTAACAATATCGTATGATTAATCCATTGTTCTGGTGCATTTGCCCTGTACCAGTAATGATAACCATAGGCTCTTTCCTCGGCACCTTGTATTGCATTTAAATTAACACCACCTTTCCAATCAGATAATTGTAATTGTGTTTCATTTATACTTAGAAAAAAATATTCGTCTTGATAATCATTTCCATAGCCCCAATTTTGGGTTGTTATATCATATTGAGCAACATGATTTGAGTCTGTTGCAGTCGTGTTTGACCGTCGGTAAGTCCAAATCTGTTCCCATTTATACGAGGCTAGAGAATAGTTTCCCCGATCAGGTAATGGATTTTTTGGCTCGTCGGTAGGTTTATCCATTAATTTTTCAAGGAAATCAAATGTGAATGATTGACCACATGTTGAATTTCCAATTCCCGAAGTATCACCGTCAAATTGTTCTGTGAGACCTTGCAAATAAGTTACATTCGCCAGTGCTAAAACTTCGCCCCACGCGGAACCTTCAATCACATATTGAAATTGAGTAAATGATAAATTTGTTTTTGTAAACCATGGACTCTCGTCGCGCGAATACCAATCAGATAGCTCTTCAGAAAGAAAACGACAGTTATCGTTGTTATGAGTAGTTTTTGCTGTCCGTTGAATACTATCTACGCCAATAATTCTCCGGCCATTTTCATCTTTTTCTATATGTTTGATTACTGTATTGTAAAACACTCGTAAATTTTTTTTGATAGTATTCACAGTTGGTAAAATAGCTTTAGTGAGAAAGTCATAGGGTAAAGTGCTCAGTCATAATGAATGTCGGACTAATGCTGATTTAATACGCAATAAAAATAGTTGCTTTCTATATGGATATCGTTCGGAAACAGTTCATTGAACATGAAATTGAAACCCAACATTTTCCTGGATCCAGACCGGCAAGAATCAAAAATTCTGAGAATAAAGGATTTCGATTTTTTAATAGACGATTAATTGCTCCTACATCAAGTGTAAAATTGCCGTCTGTTAGTTTATGCCACGCAAAATCGGGCGCTGCCAAACTTTCTGTTGTTAGTTGTCCGCCGATCCAATCAGTCGGTTCTAAAAGACACGTTTGAGTGTATCTTGCTGCACTTAACGCGGCTCCCAACGCTGCTGTTGATCCACCGATAATAAGTAATTGACAATCATCGATTACTGTCTCAGCCCTTATCTGTGTGCAAATGATGAAAAAAATAAATAAATTCAAAATTAACGACATCTCTATTATTTACTTACCAGCTCTCTTGAGCATTTTTAGATTAAATATGAAAAAGTTTCTAGTTTTGGCACATGTAATCACTCTCATGATAGGTCACGTGAAGTGAAGGTCTTTTCAAACATCTGGTACAGATAAGTATGATAGAAACTGGAAGAAAAAAAATTAAGAAGCAAGGCATTTGCTTAGGCTTGTTTTCAGGCTCTTACCATGAAATAGTTAAGAGGTCGCAATCCAAGGGTAGATATTATCAAAGAGAAAAATACTATAAAGACTTGAAATCTTTCATAAGAACTATACACTAAGTTTATAATTCATATTTTATCAGATAGAACAAGAAAAGGCAAAAACAAATACCATTATCGTTTTTTAATAATACATTATTATCAAGTTCTGATTTGTAGATGCTAAATCTAATGTTATAAGAAGTAGTAAAGATGAAGTGATAATTATCATAAAATTTTGTCCTCATCTAGCTAATGAACCACCGCCCCAAAAACTACATATAGTTTAAAATTTCAAAAACCGATCCATGCAATGGTACCTATCTAAAAACAAACGGAATCGGCTCAAAACAAATGATGAATACACGGCGTTTCGAGCATCAGTATGTTCAATATCAAATATTTTGCTTTGCTTAAAATTTTTTCTTTAGTTTGAAATGGCCAGGAACAGAATCACCTTCATATCTATGTGGGGTGAATCTACGTGAAACATACCACCATTACATCGATCCTTGGCACCCACGGCGAGATAGCATGGGTTTTTTTAGTGCGTGCTGCGCTGAATTTATTTAATTTAATTTATTATTATTTATAATTTATCTAATTTATTGGTGAAAACCGCAGGTGTATAGTTGTTGCAAAGAAAACGTTATTGGCGTTTTACTCTCCTAGGAAAAGTAGCGGAAGTTTGCCTTTTCGCAGTTGTTCTGATCCATCGTGTGACGCTCATACCGTAGCATTTTTCCGTAGAGCAGGCAGACATCGAATTTGTATTGATTCATAGGAACAAGAAAATTGAGTTTTCTAAGAGGACGTTGAAATATACGTCGTTTTTCCTTTCCAAACTTTTCTAAAAAGTGATCACGTAGAACAAAACTTTTTGCACCATTAGATAGTGCATTGAACAAAGCATATTTGACGCTATTTAAATCACAAAAAAGAACACTTTCGATTTTTTGCTAAATGCCCGCCTGCCCAGGCGAGCTTTTGGTGGAAAAACGAAAATGTACTTTTCCAAGTTTTGAATAGCGGGACATATACTTCAGCAAACGTTCCATCTTTTTGCCAGTGGAAGTTTTTTTCTAAGTGCCATATTTAGTGGAAAAATCGCTAAGAAAACATTGGTTGAAAACAATGGTGCTATTGGAAACTGGATTGCATGCAAAAATCAGAGAAAATCTGTAGAAACACAAACGCATATTTAGAATCTATATCGAATTCTCTACCGATTGCTAAAAAAGATTTTTATTGGTGAATTTTTTAATCCATAGAAAAAAGCTAGAACATTTTTCTAGCGAGTTTTCCGAAGTGGTGTGTTCAATAGAATGGGTATCCCAGTCACATCCAGCCTTTTAACTGGTTCAAACTGGGCTCACATATGCATGAACATGTAGTGAATATGCTCGTTTAGCGCTGACGCTTCTGAGAGGAGTTATAGGTTTTCCAAAAACCCTTGGTTTTTTCAAGTATTTTCTATTTTGCTTGAGCTAAAATGTTTCAAAATTTGATAAAAATAGCATATTCGGAATCAGCGCAAAAAACCGCATCGACTGATATACAATAAGAGAGATTTTAGACCCCAAAACAACAGATTTTACAAAATCCTGCGGTTGAAGACATTGTTCGCGAAGTTTTCTACTGCATATTCGGACATCAGTTGTAACATCAGGCTCAAGCCTATAAAATAATTTTATATAGGTTTTCGAGTGTGCTCATTCCAGTGGCACTGCTTTCAAAGTCCAAAAACAGTTTTTAAGAGGTTTTCAAAAGATCCGATCTCTGGAAAACCTCTTAAAAACAGTTTTGGGACTTTGAAAGCAGTGTCACTGGAATAAGCACACTCGAAAACCTGTATGAAAATTTTTTGTAGACCTGTACTCTGCTTTAATGAGATATGCTCGCCTGCCTAGCCAAAAATGCATACTGTGCTGTCCCCCCAATCTTTGCCTACGCGCCACAGAAAACAGAAAGAGATAGAGTTTGGGGTGTTTCGTGCCATACAATCAAATGTGCTGCTCCTTATACAATCTATATATGGATAAACAACAACCAATAGAGAAGGACTTTCCATGAAGCCAAAATGTGCATGTCAAAAAGAAAGATTATGGTCTGATGAGAAGGAAAACAAGAGCAAAAATGAAATCGTCATTTGACTAAAAGAGAAATAACAACAGCCGACTGGTCAACACCATCTATTACACTTCAACCAGAAAAGTAATATTTAATGTCTGCATATGAACCAATAAAAGCTATCTTTTCTTCATACTTATGCATGACCCGATTATTTCTTGTAAACCCATCCTTTTTATCAGTATCATCTAAGCAGTTTCGTACTTCATCAAGCAGACCTTTATTAAATTCTGTCAACTCTGCATAAACTGTCACATGGATCGTTTCTTTCACTTTCTTTTTATTGATGTTCAACGTTTGACTCTTAAGTGAAATCTAGCAATAACCGCACGATCTCGTTTTGCACCTAATCGATGTGCAATCTCAACATCTACTTCTGTTAGGTTATTTAATCCAACACATTGTGCTAATGATACTATCGTTTTTGCTGGGTTATCATTATCAGTCTCAGGTATACCAACAAATCGAAGATTAAATGTTCTTGAACATCATGATGTTCACGTTTATTGCTGCTAAATAAATGCTGAATAAATTCTTGTTTTTGTTCAACAGCCAATAAACGTTGTTCGATGAATCGTAATCGTTTTCAATAGAATTCATTACCGATTGATACAAGATATTAAAAATAGGATTTCAACTTGAACTTGTGTTTGACGTCAACTGTTGTAATTTTTGTTGAATTTGGCGATCACTGAGCAGCATAAATCCTATATGCTATTTTTTATCGCATCTTTATTAACCAATAATGATACATCATTGACGTTTTAGTTTCACAGTGTTTATTTTGCGGGATGTGAAACACTCATCTTTTTGAGTAGATTTAGACATCTATAGATTGTAATATAAAACAATTTTATTTATATGAACATGAAATACGTCTTATACAGACGAACTGAAAGAGAGTACTTGACTTATATTTCTGCTTTTCAAGATATAACAAAAAACAATGTAACACACTCATAACAATAACAAAAAATAAATTAATAAAAAATAAAAGTAGTCAATCACACTTGATGAAAAGCATCAAAAACTAAGCTCATGATTTTCGTTCTTTCTTTGCTTGCTTACTTTTTTCAACTAATAATGCTTGTTCACGTTCTTTTCGTAATATTTCTGGATCACAAAACTTGATCGCCGTTTTTTCACCTAAAAGATTCCATAAACGATAAAAAATATCCTCAAATGACATAAAAAACAGGTTAATTAAATATATTTAAACACTGTTGCAAACAACGTTTAACTACAGTTATTCTAATATTCGTATGTTATATTTGCATATACTGTTATCTCTAAAACTAATTACATGGGATTCGTCAGTTTTTTGTTTGTGTGAAAAATTGTACTTCGAATATCTTTCTAATATTTAACATTTTTTCGATTACTTGCCTACTTGAATACTTAATATAAAGGAACAGTTTTTAAAAATGACGAATTGAACAACGAAAGCTTAACCATTATAAGGAGAATTTTCTCCCACTCTAAATAATAATCTGTGCTCATCAAAATGAGAGATGCAGCAACGTGTTTAGTCAATTTATCGTGCTCTGCTAAAATACTTAGGGTTAACCAAAAGTAGTGGCAGAAGTACTTTATTTCCATATAGCAATTTTTGAGAAAACTTCAAATTGTTTTTAAAAGATGCTCAATTTATTTCTCTACAAAACTGATGTTGACTATATTTTGCAGTAATAAAATTTTAAATTCTAGAAGTCAAACACTTCGATGGAATCAAGTTCAACCACTTCCCATTGATTCTCAGAATGTTTTGCGAATTTTTTTTTGTACTAACGACAAATAGTCAGAAGATCAGATATTCATTTTTCGATAGTGCATCAACAGTTCTTTCAAAGATATATAATATCTTCTCGATCCAGTATCTATTGCCGTAGCAAAAATTCTTTTATTCAGTTTTAATCATAAAAATCGCTCCTTTGCAGCACTCAACTATTTCCTAACCCTATAAAAATATTTGTTCACTGTTTTTGTGGTAGGAAGCAAGGTAAATCATTTTCGTATAAAACTTTATATTAATGATCTTTTCTGGGCTATAAATGGCTTTTTCATGTTTTTTCTAAAGACAGCAGCTGGAAGGAGAAAATTGTACTATTTTTCGAAATATGACTTTTAGAAAAAATGTCATTCAATGAGTAGAAAGTAGTAATGAAAATATCTAAGTATATGCAATCAGTAGACATTTTTAAAGACTATCTATTGGTGAGTCGTATTTTATGAGTCCAATATTTGTGGGGATTCTACACACGAACAATTCGGAAATTCAGTGGGAAGTGGTTGAACTTGATTCCATGGAAGTGTTTGACCTCTAGAAATTTATAATTTCATTACTGCAAAATACAGTCAACATCAATTTTGTAGAGAATTAAATTGCACATCTTTTGAAAATAGATTGAAGTTTTCTCCAGCTTTCTATACAGCAATAAAGTACCTCCACCACTACTTCTGGATAAATCTAAGTACATTTAGAACTGGTAACACGTTTTTCATATATGTCTTAAATAATCAACGAGAGCATTTTAGTTCGCTGTTCGGATGAATACTAGCCGTAAACTATGAAATGTCCATAAAAGATATTCAAAGCTTACCTCCATCTTCTAATCTGACACCTAAATCGGGTAATGTAACATCTCTCACATGATCACATAATGTTAATATCTCTTTATTTTTTGATAAGATTGCTTGTCTTCTAACCGAATCACGAAAATGTGAAAATTGTTCAACGTATGGCATTGCAATTTGTTCAACATCAATCGTCGTTATTTCATTTATATTCTGTATAGGCTTGCCAAATCCAATTTGATCACCACTATTATTTTCATTTATCAAACCGAATATAGATAACATTCTTGTGATGTACAATGCTATATTTCTAATTAATAATGTATTAATTACTTTCATTGAATTCATATAAATGTTTGTGAGACGAATCAATTCTCGAATGTGATCCATAGATTTTGGCGTATCAATTGAATCACTTAGTGCTAAGTGTATTTCTCGTTTCAAATTTAAAAATTCTTCATTTAACTGTCTATCATTTTCATCAAACTTTGTATACGATTTGATATCATTTAAGTTTCTATTTCGAATGTGAGTTTTAACATTAAGAAAAAATTCATTTAATAGTTTTTCATATATTAATGCACGATCCATTCCAGAATCACTAAAATCTAGAGTACCTGACCATGAATGTAATAAAAATAATAAACGTATTTGTCTACTAGAATATATTTCCAATGCTTGATTAATTGTTACAAAGTTTTTTAATGATTTTGACATTTTACATCCAGTTATTGTTAGATGACCACTATGTAAAAAATAATTAATCCATTGATCATGATTATAATGGGCTTCCGCTTGAGCTATTTCATTGTCATGATGAGGAAATTTTAAATCAACACCACCCGTATGAACATCAAATTGTTCACCTAAAATAATACTTAGGGCATACCAAAAGTAGTGGCAGTGGTATTTTTATCCCTTATAGAAAGGTTAAAGAAACTTTCTTTTTATATAGTCTGATAGAGAAAAGAATGTTCTATTTTTCTATGCTATTTGATC